GTACATTGATTGAATGGTAAATATAGAATTTTCATTTCATTTTAAAAATTTAGTGTATAAATCGGAACAATTATTTAAAATATTAAACCGACTTTGATAAACTTATTTCCCCATAAAACACTATTAACAAGATTATGTGTTATTTGACAGCTTACTAGCAGTATGTATAGAGATATGCATCAAATTTTGGATATGAGAGAATTATTCAAAAAGAAAGTTATCTGGATGCAGTATAATGATAGGTCTCGATGAACCAGGATAGTAATCTTCTATAAATTGAATCATATTCTGATAATAGCCCAATATATTTAGTTGATTACACAATAATGAAATTCCGGAGATCACAGGAATGCTAGAGTATTGTCTGAGTTTTTGCATACTGGTGATTGAAATTAAATAATCCAATTTGTTAGACTTTTTAATTAGCCAATCAAGATGCTACACAAAGCAAAGGAGCTAAACAAATCATCAATAAAGAATAACCTATCCTTTATTGAGATAAAGCAAAGTCTATTTGGATTCCTTTGTCCCTGCCTCTTTCATGAACCCTGCATCTATGATTCTAAGTCTTAGACGTACTCGTGAAAAGATATTTTACTAAACGAATAGTATTCATCTTCTTATATTTTTCTAAAGCATTTTCGAAGAAGTAATAGCTATGTTAATCAAATCTAAGTTCCTTATTCTTGATCATTCAATGGTCCTTAATCAATTTTCTTGATAAATTGATTGATTTATGCATTTTGTCCTTATTTTTACCGAATAAATAGATCATTTGAATAATTCTCTTCGTAAAACTTTAGATCCAGGTGGATTAATTATATAGAAGCACCCAAAAATATGTGCCTTATCATATAAGTTTCTGGCAACATTAACTTTGTATTAGGATAATGTCTCTCTTTTTTTATAATCTTAGGTCTTGCAATAATTAATTTTTGATTTGCTAATTTGCATATGTCCTTTCTATTTATTATTGGGTTATATTATGGATTGTATATATAATACGCAATTTCTATATATTCGGGCGCCTTATTCAACTATCCGCATGTGTTTATCTAGTTATGGTTTGCCTCCTCCTATATGTTTATCCTTGCTAATTTTTAGCCTCAAAATGAACATATTGAGTTGCATCAGAAGCGCTATGGCCGTAGATTTGACTATTACGAGCGGAAGTAAATAGTCTGTATTTATGTATTTCTTTTAGGCGTAAGAAAGAAGCCCGTGAACCTCATGAGAGGAGTAAGCGTGCAAGGAAACTCAGAGGACTTAAGGCTAAGATTGCTAATCGAGAGAGGTTTAAGGAAAAAGTTCTGATGAAAAAGACGTAAGTGGATTTTTAATTATTTCAGTATTCGGGCTCACGAATTGCAGAATGTAAATCAGAAAGCGGGCCCTGCTGGTGGTTTTACTGAAAAACCAGCATATCTACTTGATCGGGACGAAGTAAACTCTGCAAAAATACTTTCAAATACAGTCAAACAAAAAAGAGCCCTCAAAGCGGTTTGTTACCTTATTATATTTTGCATTTGCTTGTTGCAGTACTTGACTACTATGCATTTTATTTGGTTTGTCTTTGAGTTTATATTAAATTTTATGAGTCACCAACCAGGGCATCACTGTTGCTTATTGCTCTTCGTCTGAAATGTGTTTACAGAATTTATATGCATTGAAAATCCCTAAATGGCAAAACTTCCAGTATTTGACATTCATTTTTGCGCTCATGTTAGTACATCTAGCCATAATAACTTTATCTAAATTTTTTAACTTGTTTATTTATTTTTATTTATAAATTGTCTAATTTCTATGCTATATATTTGAATTGCTATTTCGCTATATTTATCTCATTATTCCTCGTGTGATCTCAATTAATAAATGAGTTATTAATTTATATGGGCTGTATAGCAAGGAATCTAATTGTGGTTGCTTCCAAATCGCTAGTCTTAGTTGTCTCTAGCTTTATTTACAATTCTAAGGTCTTTGTAAGCATGTTCTCCGTGATAGTCTCCTTCATTTTTTCCTGAAAGTGTAAAGTTTATGGAAAATTAATCATTACTTAGTTGTTTGTTACTTTTCACAAAACAAATTTTCTCTTTGTTTTGAACTATTCATTTAATTCTAACCTGAATCGTTGATTGTTGTATGCATATGCATCTTGCTATTTGCCGAATAAGTAACTATAAGCTCAGTATCACTTTGATAAGCCTTGCAAATTTCGCTCCCGTTGATCATAGATATCTCCAGTTTTTTGGCCTTTTGTAATTCTAATTGATATAGAAAAATACATTAATGTCTGAACCTTAATAATTTCATGCTTATTTTTGCTTGTAGTGTCTGTGTTAGGTTGAACGCATGAATCTTAAGCTGCCATGGCGTAATCGGA